ATAAAACTTTCGAGATCGGGTCGGTTTTTAAAAAAATCGGGATTGGGTCGGATTTTTTTTAAAAAAAATCGAGTTCGGGTCGGATTTTTTTAAGTGTGATATTCGGGTCGAGTTCGGGTTTAGGGTGAAAAATACTCGACCCGACCCGAAAAATATATAATTTTACCTTATATATTTAGGAATAATTACAATAATACCCCTCTATATATAATTTTTTCAAATAAGTCATTGTTTTTATTAAATAAAAATAATTTTTTTATTATTTCGGGTCGGGTTTCTAATTCATATATTCGGGTCGGGTCAGATCTCGGGTGGAGGTTCCTTGTTCTCTGTTCGGGTCGGGTGGACCAAAAACCCAACCCGGCCCATGGCCATTCCTAATTGGGATGATTTTAACTTATGATATTTATTAGTATGATTTTTATAATTTATTGAAATGAATAACCAATCAATAAAATGAAAATTTAATATTTTTTAAAATTTTATAATATATTGCTACATGTAAGTTATAAAACAAACTAAAATTAAACAAAAAAAACAAGAAGGGCAATTCTATCATTTTACATTACTAAAATCAAATTCATCTGACATCTCTGCGAACCAAACAGAATATGGAATTGGATTTCAATTCAATTTCCTGCCAACCAAACAGGTTTCAGATTCAGATTTCAATTCCTTCAGATTCCAATTCCTTCACAGATTTCATTTCCCTAAAAAATATTCCAACGAACCAAACGCCATCTTAGTGACGTACATTTTAAAATTTTTCTTTCAAAGTTTTGTAATTTTTTATTATTCGTCAATTTTTTTAACTTTTTTATTCTTCCTTGGTGTAAGAAAGGTACTAAGAGTTTTTATAGAAGAAAAATGTATTCTACAGGAATTGTTCTTTAAACCTTTTTTTATTATTGGATAATAAATATAAGATAATATATGTTCAAATAATACTCTTAATCATTTGACATTAAATATTCATATATTGATATTTAATGCTCGAATTCAAAATCTCAAAATAATAATAATAATAATAATAATAATATTTCTTTTTTACTATCGAAATCATTTAATAAAAAAATCACAATCTCTCAATTCTTTTAAATTTTAGATAGTAGATTATAATGTGCGTCCTCGTTTTAACTGATCGAAATTAAAGGATTTAACACGTGTGGGACAAAAAATGCGACCAGTTAAATGTTATAGTAATATCCAAAAGATGTGATTTCTTTAAATAATTTTTAAAGCGTAAATCTTATACTTTGAATACTTATTTTAAAAATAAAAATATAAGAAGTGAAATAAAATTGCATCGCAAATTAAATAATGAAAAATAAAAAATTATAGTGATATAAATATTAGTCACCAAAAGCTACAATGCGAATACAATGAACGAAATGAGTGCAAATACATAAAGTTGACCATACAAGAAGCTAAAATCAAGTACTTGTGTTCCAACACAAGAACTGGATGATAATATCCAAAGTTGCAGTGCCCGTTGTAGTCGGGAGTAAGCAAAATTTTTTAACTTAATTTGATTTAAAATTTTGATTATACTCAAAAAAAATTAAATTTAAGTTAACTTATAATAAAATTAGAGTAATTCATAATTTTTATTAATTATATTTATTTTAAAGTTTGAATTGATTTCTCTCTCTATATAAAAAATATGAAAAATATATGTGTATTACATATAATTATAAAAAATTGTTTAAATTAGAATCAATAGTACTATAAATATTATATAAACATTTATAGTTAAATTTAAATAGAAACTTGAACTCAACTCGAATTTTTTTTAAATAAAAATTGAATTATAAAATGAGACTCATTTTTTTTATTTGGTTAATATTATGTAATTAATTAATCCATGTTACCTCTTTTTATAATGTCAATTTGGGTTATTTATGTTCGAATCTGTACATAGCTCTATTTTTCAAGAAACAACGATTAAAGGGAAATTAAATAGATTTTTTTTTGGGAATAGTCGTCGCCAACTCTAAGAAGACCAATCCAGACGCCAACTCTAATTAAATAATCCAATCAGTAAGATCAAAGGAGAAAAATAAGGAGAACCTCAATTCTTTAAGAATTAAAAGTTGTAATAACTTCAAACCTCTTAGGTTTTATTATTTATTTAATTAGAATTTTACTTTGCTTAGAATTTCAAGTAGGTTTTAATGATTTATTATTAGGATTTTAGTTTACTATTTATTAATTAAGAATTAAGTTTTAATTTTTTAAGAGTTAGCATTTTATTTTCATTAGGTTATCTCAAAACTATAAATATCTCTAGGGGTGAAGCTTGAGACATGTTCACAATTCAATATAGTACTGATTTTGGCTTTTATTTTGTTTTAGGTTTAATAAGATTATCTTCTTCTTAATCTTTTCTCTCTTTCACACGTCAAGTGTGAACTCTATCATGCTTGACTAAACTTTTTCTTAGCTAATATATGAGCTAAAACTTGATTCGATCTCGTGAGAATTGCAAAAATGCTCTATATCTTCATATTTATCTTGATTTTCGGCAGACAATGAGAGGCAACCAGTCTTTTCTTTAAGCATCTCAATGTCTTCAATTCAAAGAGTGCATATTGACTTAATCTACGTTGTGATCTACAATTGGGGAGGAGAGTTGACTTGTAGCAAATTCAATTACCTAAAAACAAAATTAGCGGTGGTCTGCTAAGGAAAATCAAGATCGGGTTCGATCTCATCGAGACACTATTATTTGAGCGTGGATGTAAAGGAAATGCCTCAAGCCTAAATGTTGTGAGGTGATCTTCTTTTATACAATAAATTGTATATCTATAAACAAGGAAATAAAAAAGAATATATACAATTAAAGGTAATATCCTAGAATTAAGATAACACCTGGAGTCTTAGAAATATTTCCAAAAGCAGACAAAGAGAAGGCAGGCTTTAGGCGACCAGAAGAAGAATAATCTCGTTGGGCAACAAGAGCTGACTGGGAAGATGAGACACCATGAAGGGACTTAGAGAAAAGCTCATGGCTGAGGGCTTTCGGTACCAAGTTGGCGAAAGAAGGCAGCAGCAACTATGACGACATTGACGTAGAAAAAATTTTGTAATCAAATCCAAGACCACGAAGAAACCAATGTACCTTATATGTGTCATCAACGGGTTTACCGGGTAGCACTAAGTTGATCACAGAGAGAGCAAAAGAACGAGCATATTCAACAACACCACGAGAGCCTCGTTGCATTAGTTGGAGTTCGTCTTTTAATTGAATCTCCCGAATCTTATAACTGTGTGAAAAAGAGGCTTCAAGAGCTAGCCAAGCATCACAAGCAGTAGAGCAATCCACAACTTCAGCCATACATTCCTCTGTGAGAGAGGCATAAAGAAGACTGAGTATTAACCGATCTTGTGCGTGTCATTTTTTTGTAAGCAGGATTCAGAACCAGATCAGTATCCTGGAGAATCTGAGAAGAAGGTGCCGAGAAAGACCCATCCAGATAACCCATTAAATCTTGACTTTCCAGTAAAGGAATAAATTGACGACGCCACAAGAGGTAATTTGTGGGAGTGAGTTTGATGGTCACCATGTGAACCATCGTATTAAGCGGAAGCTGGTTGGTTGAAGAGTCAGCCATGAAAGCTTAAAACGACAAGGATTTCTCCAACTGCTGATACCAAGTAAAGGAAATGCCTCAAGCCTAAATGCTATGAGGTTATCTTCATTTGTACAATAAATTGTACATCTATAAACAAGGAAATAAAAAGAATCTATACAATAAAAGGCAATATCCTAGAATTAAGGTGAATAAGTAAGAGGAGCTAAAATCATGGAGAATCAACTATTTTCTTGGTCACAATCAGGGAAGTGGATTCTCCTCTAATAGTGGACTTTTCCAATTTCTAAATCTGCATTGGCATTAATATCGTTAGTTGATATTAATCCAAACAAAGACTAAATTTTAATGATTGACTTTAGAAATTAGTTCACCAGAGAGAAGAGCAAATTACAGGGGTGGACCTTGTAGATTGTAACCGAAAGGCATCTGAAGTAAAATTTATTTCAGTAATGGAGACGGATTGGAGCAAAACGAAACTGGAGGCTATTTGTCATCTTAATTAATTCTCTACGATTTACTTTTCTTATTTTTTTTGTTTTTACTTTAGTTTTTATTTTATTCATTTAGTCGCTTGATTATTCAAACCCTTTTTTTAATTCTTTTGCTTTACATATTTCTTGGTTAGCATCAAATCAAACCTAAATTAGAAATTCTCGAATCTTTGTAGACCGACCCCTTCTTCCCTATTATACGTTTATAGCTTACTTATCCGAGAAAAATGACTTATTTATTTAATAATTACGACACTTATTTATTTAAAATTTTATTTATTTAGTCGTTTGATTATCCCCTCTTTTTAATTATTTTGTTTTACGGATTTCTAGGCTAACATCAAATCAAACCTAAATTAGAAATTCCCTAATCCTTGTGGACTAACTCATTTCCTATTTACGTTTATAGCTTACTTATCTAAGAAATGATTTATTTATTTGATAATTACAACGCTTACTACATCAACTCAAATAACTCAATTTTTTTCTCGACTCAATCGAAGTCTCATTTCTATTTGTAACCCCTACTTGTAGCTGAAATCAACATCGGTAGTATGCGTTATACGAGTGACAAAAAAGTCATCCATGGATTCACATATAACTGATGCTTTTCTGAAAGTGATGTTCCCCCCCCCCCCCTAAAATATATGGTCTGATCCAATGAATGCAAATGGTAGTGTGTAAATTCTAAGACCAGGCAAAAGATTACCACACCAGATACAATCAAACAACAATAATCTCATATCCCCATTGCAGAAAATTGCAAGTGAAAACAGGCATAGAGCAAATCCAAAAGTACAACCAAAACAACAATAATGGCGGTGGTACCAACACATCCATGGATGTCATCGAACTGATATAGAGGCGGTGACTGTTGTGGATCATGAAAAGAACACGTCCATGGATATAAGTTCTGCTAATCAAGCAATTCAATATAGAAATACCAATAAAATTACACACAATAAATTGGTAGGTGTCTCAGTAACGTAGTTACCACATACAAACAACCAAGCTATCTACATTACATACAAGCAAACAAATCAATCTCATGGCCAATGGTTTCTCACGTTAATTATTGCCCCTATATCAGTGATTCATCTCCAGCTTCTGCCAAGTTATAGAATCAAAATGTGTGAATCTTTCAGAATTTCCAATGCATAAAATGAAATAGAAGAGCTCGAAGACTCTTATCGATTAGGGATAGTACCTTTCCCAGGTACAATTATGACAGGTGCGGCTTTACAGTTGTGGAAGCAATACTCGCTCACGCTTCCTTGAAGAACACTGCAAATGTATGAATATGATGAGAGAAAATAATGGAAAGAAGGGAGTCATGATTTTGTAGGATGGAAAAGTCTGCGTTACTCAGACTCAGGAATCGATGTCCGATAAGATCAATATTCATGTATTTGGAGGTTGGGACATGGGCACTTTAAGAAAAAAGTTGGTGTCGAAAGAGGATAGGGCAAGGTAACACAAGCTCAAGCATCACATAGAACGATGTAGCATGTAATTAAGGGGAAAACAGACCTTTGTATTAAGCTTCTACCACGAGTTCCCATAACCACCGCTGCTGGCTTCAACCTCTCTGCTTCCTTGCAAATTACCTTTCCGGCATCCCCCTCGACTATTCGAGCTGTACTCTCACCTAATTCCAAAGAAATTATAACTTTCTGAAAATCCAAAGACTAAATAATTGTTGAACTCTTAAGCTATATCAGAGTTAAGGGCATGCCAAACCAAAGGGTTGATTATGAAATATAACCCCAAGGTTTGATTCAATTATAATGTATAAATGCTAAAACCAGTTGTCAATTGCAATGTAATCTGCATACTCCACTGAGAATTTTAGAAACCTCTTCATATGCATCAACTTAAACTTTTTTAATACATTAAAACTACAGGAGAAGGGGTGTTATTCCGACAGCGGACCTCTATTTAAATCACTGATTACAATTATGACCCGCTTGCACTTTTAAATTACTAAAACAGTGAATCATCTTGATATTTGACAGAATATTCAAAAGACAATGGATCAACACATACATACAGAAAATAAAAAATTGCACCTTGAATGGTATACATCAACAATCCCTTGCTGGACAAAGCATATAATCTCAATGTTCTCTCAATTACAATTTCAAATCTTGAAGAAATAAAATAATACTAAAAGCAACAAAAAAAATACTAACCATGGCAACCTCAAAAGCCTCCACAGCTAACTTCTCCATAAGAGCTTGACTAGTTTCATAAACAATATCATTTCTGACGCCTACAAAGAAAAAAAAATAAAGAAAATAGAGAAATAAGTAAGAAATTCCAAGATAAAACTTAAATGGGAAGTGATAATTGGTGTGCTTACTGGAAACAGCATGGACAAGGTGGATGGTATCAGCAAGCCTGACGAGGTGAATAAGAGCCCAATCAAAGGCGTGTTTGCTTTTGGGACCATGATCCACGGCTATTACTATATCTCTGCCTCTCCTCCTCTCCACCGTCTCCCTCTCTAGCGCTGGCTCTGGCACTACTGGTATCAATGAAGGCAAAATTACTTCTCTGTAATTGTACTCTTCGTCTTCCATTGTCATAACCATTTTTTTTTATAAAATGAATTTATATTATTTAAAAAAACGATTACGACTTTAATTTGGAAAAATGGGTGATTTTGCATTGATTTGAATAAAATTAAAAAGAGTCGCCATCAACCTTTGGGTTAGGTAGGTCGAATACCTAAAAACGTCTTTTAAAACAATTTTAAGAAAAATCATTTTTTAAGACAAGATTCGGTCTGCGTTACCAAAGATTCATTTAAATGGATTCGGGAGTCGATTACGTGCGGGGAAGGGTAAGCACCCCACAACGCCCAAAAACTGGTACTGTGTCGCTTACATGTTGTCGTAAAATGGTGGAAACTATAAATCGAATATAAAGTTAAATTACGATCCATTTATTGAAATTTAATTAATTTACTTCGAGTTAACTATTTAAAGAAAATCCTTTAACTCGATAAGAAATCTTGAAATTTGCAATCCTCCGTCGGGAAAGCTATTTCAACTATTCTCTTTTGTAAAAGAATATTCTACCATTGATTATGTAAAAAAATTGCGAATCAAATATAACTAAAAACGATGTTTACATACGGGTAAATTGATTAACTAAAAAACGTGAATTGAATACAAATTAAAAATTTGAAATTTACATTCACATAAAATAAAATAAATTGTCACTTAAAATAACACACATTGCATCGTTTGAACAAATTAATTAGCAAAATACGACTTATTTCAAGTTTCTATGTCGTTAAAATGCCGTACCGGATCACACCACTTCGATCAAGTAGTACTTTCCACGCCCATTCTACGCATACGTGTTCTTGAAAATATAATCGAATATTTCTTACATAGATAAAGATATAATGTAATTGAAAATACAAAATAAAATATTTACATTAAATGAAATTGAAAACATTATTTACATAATCCAATAATTAAGTAATGAGTAAAATACACATCCATACATAAATGTCTAAAAATAAATTAGTAAATATTACAAACCAAAATTAATATAAAACATTTAAGAGGCTAAATAATATAAACAGAAACTTAGGAGGCTAAACAGCAAAAACAGAAAGTTAATGGACCAAAAAAAACACTAACCGAAATTTAAAGGACTAAATAAAAAATAAAAATAATTTAGAGCCCATATCACAAACATTAAACAGTCAAATACTAGAAGTGAAATAACCCAAAAGTAAAGCTTATGACTAAATTGAAATTTCACAGAAACATGGAGGATCAAATAGTAATTAGATAAAATGTCAGACAGTGACCAAAATAGAACATTTGCAAGTATGATGGCTGAATTCAACATCCACAAAATATCACAATACAAGAACTTAGGACTAGACTGAAACTATTACAAACATAATGTCTAAAAGTCAAATATTCACAAAAATGACATAACATACATTAATAGGACTAAAATAAAATATTTAAAATGGGATGGCCAGATTCGAATATCAAAGAAACATACATGAAATATTAAATCAGTGGCTAAGATGTAACATTTAAAATATTGAAACCAGAACCAAATATAAACCAAAAAATGTTATAATACCTAGGATAGTGACTAAAATGAACCTAAAAGAAAATTTAAGCCTAAATCAAATATTAATCCCAATCGAACCCACAAGCCAACATAAAGGACCGAAATGAAAAGGATACAAAACAGATGACCAAAATCATAAACCTCACCGAAAATAAAAACTAAGAACAAAGATGGACTAAAATAGAAGGCAACCCAGTTTAAAGACTAAAACATAAATGTTAATAAATTCCATTAATATACATACAATGATCAAAATAAAATTAATCACAAATCAATAAACCTGAATAGGCATAAAACCAAACTAACATTACAGAAAATTTAAGGACTGAAATAAACATTTCACAAATTCCAGGCTTGATATATAAAAATTGTCATAAACATCAACACATATGTTAGGACGAAAATATAACCAGAAATAAAAAGGAGACTCAAATAGAAAAACTGAAACCTAAAAGACTAAATAGGAATTAAGCCATACACAAGCCAATGGCTAAAATACAATATTCACAAATATAGTGACCAATGTCAAATATTAACAAAAATAACTTAACAAATAATAAAAGGACTAAATATAAATAAGGAACATCAGAATCTGAAATCAAATAAATGAAACTTCATTTAATGGCTAAATAATACGGTTACAAAGCATCAGGGACCAAAAGCGTAGTTACCCCATGCGTGAAATTACAGAACTCGTCCCCTCAAAACGACGCCGTTTCCCACAAGCTATAAATAGCCCAAATATCTCCTTGAACCGGCCATCTGTTTCATTTTCCCTTCAACATGAGAAAGGGAAAGAGAGAGAAGAGGAGAGAGTGAGAGAGAGATATCTAGAAATCTCTCTGGAAACGGCGAGATTCCGCCGTGCCGGCCGCCACTGACCGGCGGCCGCCGCCGTACGCCGGCGCCGAAGGGAGAGAAAACGACACTATTCAAAGCGTCTCCAGACCCTGAGCAAGGATCTGGCCTCCGTTTGGCCTAAAAGTGGCTCAATCACAGTGGATTAGGGAGAAACCTTTCGGTTTCTCCATCTCCGGCGACCGGTTTTCATCGTGTTCGACCAAGGTATGGTCTCTATTCTCTCCTCTTTTTCCTACCTTCTGTTTTTTTTTATGTTTTCTCTTTCTTTTTTTTTCTGAACCCGAATGGTCTCCCGTTCTTCTCTCTGTTTTTTTCTTTTCCGAATGCCCCCCTCCCCCTCCTTTTTGTTGCTGCATGTACTTTAATCTTGTTTGTTGGGTGAGATGATGATGATATCTAGAATAGGGGTATGAGTCTCATTGATTTTGCAGGATTAAATCCCGTAAATATCGGGATTTAGGTTATATTTATTTGGGGGTTTTAAATTTGGGGAGTTGGTGCACTGTAGATGATAACTTGGGGTTGATTTGTTTTCTGATTTTTCACTGTAGATGACGATGGTGGCGCGGGAACGGCGGCTGGACCATCGGAGTGGGCCGGAACAGTGACGGCGGCGCGGCTGGAAGTCCAACAGAAGCGGCGGCGGCGGCTAAATATTTAGGGTTTTGAAACCCTAATTTTTGTTGGGCTCGTGTGATGGGCTCGGGTTAAGCCTAGGTTGGGCCTTGTTGTATTGGGCTTTGGCCTGCAAAAAAATATGTAATAATAAATAATAATAAAATAATAAGATAACGATAATAATAATAATAATAATAAAATAACGGAAAAAAAACCCGGACAAAAACGGGTGTCCACAGCTGCCCCTCTTTGCACATTCTTGTGTTAACAAGAATAGGGCAAAGACGACAAAAAACACGTTTTTGTCTGGTTCTCCTCCTTCTTAAACTTAGCAATTGGATAATGTTGGTTGTTGGGGACGACACTGCTCATACGTGATGAAGAGTTCGGGTCGTCTAAGGGTGACATGGTTCCTACGTGATGAAGACATCTGGTCGAAGGATGACACTACTCATACATGATGAAGAGTTCTTGGCCATCTTAAGGTGATAACACGGTTCCTACGTGATGAGGACGCTGTTATCTATGGTTGACACGGCTCCTACGTGATGAGGAGATCTGATCTGGGGAATGACACGGCTCATACGTGATGAAGAGTTCTGGCCATCTAAAGGTGATAACACGGTTCCTACGTGATGAGGACGGCTGGTTATCTATGGTTGACACGGCTCCTACGTGATGAGGAGATCTGGTCAGCTGATGACACGGCTCATACGTGATGAAGAATTCTGGCCATCTAAAGGTGATAACACGGTTCCTACGTGATGAGGACGGCTGGTTATCTATGGTTGACACGGCTCCTACGTGATGAAGAGCTCTGATCTGGGGATGACACGGTTCCTACATGATGAGGACGGCTGGCCATCTTTAGGATTTATGGTTTCAAGAGAAACCAAATCAAAGATTTGTTTCAAAAGAAACAAACCCAAAGATGATATTTTTAAAAGCAACTGTCTCAAAAGAGACCAAATTCGTTTTAAGGGAAACGACTCAAAGATGACATTTAAAGGGAAACTGTCTCGTGCAAGACAAAATTCGTTTTTAAGGGAAACGTTCTCAAAGATCGACGTTTCATGGGAAATTGTCTCAAATGAGACAAAATTCATTTCAAGGGAAACGATCTCACAGATGTTTGTTTTGTTTCAAAGGAAACAAATTCAAAGATGGTAAATTTTGTTTCCAAAGAAACAAACTCAAAGATTTTTTCTCAAAGAAACTGTCTCGAGAGATACAAACTTTTGTTTCCAAAGAAAGAGATTCAATGATTTTTCAAAAGAATTTGTTTTAAGGGATAAAACATTGTTTCCAGAGAAACACACTCAAAGATGATCTTGTTTTAAGAGAAAATGTTTCAAGAGAAAATGTTTCAAGTGAAACGACTCAAAATGGTTTTATTTCAATTGAAACAAACTCAAAGATTTTGTATTTCTAGAGAAACTGCCTCAAGGGAGTCAACATTTGTTTTAATAACAACAATCTCCAAGATGGGTAGTTTTAAAATAAATGGTCTAAACGATCTCGAAGGTTGGTATTTTCAAAAGAAGTTGTCTCGAGAAAATTTTTTTCAAAGGAAACAAACTCAAAGATTTTCTTCAAAAGAAATTGTCATTAAGAGATAAAATTTTGTTCCAAAAGAAACAGATTCAAAGATGGATTACATCTTAAGTAAGGCCAAATTTGTTTCAAATGAAACAATCTCAAAAGTTAGTTTTTAATTAGAAACTGTCTCAAGAGAGACAACATTTGTTTTTTTTTTTTTTTTTTTTTTTTTTTTTTAAAAAGACTCAAAGATGATTTTGTTAAGAAACAGACTCAAAGATTTTCAAAATGAACATATTCAAAGATTTACTTCAAAAGACTGTCTTAAGAGATACAAAATTCATTTTAAGAGAAACAGATTCAAAGATTTTTTTTTAAAAGAAATCTTAAGAGAGACAAAATTTTATTTCCAAAGAAACAAACTCAAAGATTTTTGTTTCAAAAGAAACTATCTTAAGAGAGACAAAAT